GCCTGGGGGAGTGCTGCCAGTGAGTGTCAGTGGCTGGGAGCCCATCACCTGGAAGGAGTAAGCAACCAGGCCAGCAAACAGGACCACCAGGGCGTTGCGTGCTGCAGCAGAGAGAGCAACCATGAAAACATGCCCAGAGCCCAGAGCAGCAGGAGGGACAGCAGGAGGTGGGTACCCAGGCTGCTGAGGACTTCCAAGCCTTAGGAAGGGACATGTCCAATGGCAGGACCAACCCTGGGACTTGGTCCTCAGTGACCCACCTCTAACTCTCAGCTCCTGCCGACCTGGTCTTTACCAGTTTCAGGCTGTCTGTTCCCTGTCTCAGAGAGACAGGACCCCAGCAGGGACAGCCACGGGAGGGGAGCGAGCAGGGGGTGGGCAGCGCACCAGGGGCAGGGGTTAAGCTGACCCGGCCAGCCAGCGGCTCGGCACCCGCAGCTCGGGGCAGGCGGCTCTTCATGGCCTGGAGACCTACCAGTGCGGCCAGGCAGGCCAGCCCCAGCACAGCATCCCCAGCCCTGCAACAGGAACATCAGTGCCAGCCCAAACACGCTGCGGGGCACAGGGATTGCTACCCTGGAGCCCTGAGGAAGAGTGTGCCCAGGCACAGCCGTGGCTGCTGGCAGGGGCACTGGTGGCACCTCCACTCCACCGGCAAAACACATCACCTCCCTGGGGGACAAGGGAGGAAGGGCTGTCCCCAATCAGTGGTTTGATGCTAATGGGTTTGTGGGTTCTTTATAAAGAGGAAAGAAGGTCCCCTGCGACAGGCAGGATCCATGTGGTGGGATCTGCCTCCTCCCCTTCCTGATGCTGCCCCTCACAGCCAGGCAGGGATGAAGCTGTCCCCTGGTGTCACTGCATGTGAACCCCAGAATGCAGAATCAACCCTGTGCAGCAACAAGGGAGCAGGTGGGGATGCACAGGGATACCTGAGCTCCCTCCTGGACTGTCAAAAACTGGAGGAGGACTTACAGCACAGTCAGTCCCAAACGTGTATCTTTGGGCTGGCAAAACCCTGGTGTACATAACTGGGGGAGGAAAACTGGGCCAGCCTCCCCCATCCTCCCCCATCCTCCCCCTTCAGCAGCATGGGAGCCTGCATCCTCCCTCATCTTCAAATTTCCAGATCAAATGGAAATGGCTGAGAACAAACACTTGTGTCACAGCTCTGGGTGGGCACCAAGAAACCAGTCCAAGGTGTGACCACAGAGATGGGGAGGGAAGCAGCAGAGCCCCAGACTCCGCAGCTGCGGGGGACGGCGCAGGGACGGTGCTGACCTGGTCTCCCCGATCCTCCGCAGTGTTTCATACACCTGCAGGAAAAACTGCCGAGGGATCCCCTGCAGCCCCAGGATGTTCTGTGCAGGAAGACAAAGCCTGGTGAAAGCCCAGCACAGTCCGAGCCATTGGGTGCCACAGAGGGACTGCCAGGAGCACCAGGGCCAGCCCTGCACGGGGTCCTGGCACACACACAGTGTCGGTGCTGCTGCTGGGAGAGCTCCTCAGCAACACCAGCTCCATGCAGGCAGGGTGCAGAGATGCTTTGTTTTTTTCCATGCTCCCAGGTCCTGCAATCCCTCCATTCCATCACGCACACCCTCCCAGAGGGTGTTCAGTTCAGAAGCCCAGCCCTGCCATCCCCCTGAACCCTGCCAGGAGCAGCAGCAAGGGCCCAGCGCTGCGGCCGCAGCCATTACCCAACACCCGCCCGCTGGTTCCTGGCACAGCCTGACACCACCTCCCAGAGCCTCTGATTTTGGTTAACCACAAAGGAAGCACTGCAGCCCCAGAAGAGCCAGAGTGACTCAGGTCTCCAAGAGGCCAGCAAGGGACCAGTAGAGCTGCAAACTCATCCAGAGCTGCTGAGAGGACCACCCAGCACCTCCTGCAAGTGATCAAATCAAATGTCCTGTTTGACTGGTGTCTTGAATGCCACCAGCTGTCACAGGCAGAGGGTGTGCTCAGCTTGCTCTCCTCAGAGTAAAGCACCAGAACCAGAGGGGACCTGTGCCTATTTGGGGCTCTTTCCTCTCCTTCCCCTCCCACCAAGCATATCACCCAGCCTGGTACCAAACATCCCAGCTCTGCAGCACGACTGGCTCCAGCAGAGAGCAGGCAAGTGTCTGGAGTGCTCCTGCAGACCCTACCTTGACCTGGTTGAAGCTAATGGTGATGGAAGCAGCAGATGTACACCCTTTAATGACTGGGCAGGAAATGAAGTCCAGAAGGAAACCTGCACAGGACAGGGGGCGGTAAGCACGCTGCTGGCCCCGACGGGGAGAACAGGGTGTCTGCAGTACACCGAGCTGCCACAAGTGTTAGCAGGAAAGTGCCAGTGTCTGGGAGAGCACAGGGGAGAGGGGGAACAACTACAGGACGTACAGCAATATCCTAAACATACAACCACACATAGCGAGAGCTTCTCACCGAGGTGCAGGAGCCCCATGGCCAGCTGGATGCAGCCGGAGAGGAAGGCAAGCAGGACGGCATAGACAGGCTCGTGGAAGGCATAGGAGGAGACAAGCAGCGACATGATGGCTGTGGGACCCAGTGTCACGTCCTTGGCAGTGCCCAGGAAGCAGTAGACAAAGCAGCCCATGAAGGAAGAGTAGAGGCCGTACTGCACGGGGACAGAGGGAGCAGTGGGACAAGGCTCGGAGCCGGGGGATGCCAAACGCCGGCAGGACGAGGAGGACGGGGCTGCCCTCAGGTCCACCCGCAGCCAGCCCTGAGCGGACACACGGCGTTGGGGGACATCCTGCCCCGGAAAAGCGGGCGACTGCCCAGGAGCAGCCCCCCGGCAGCCGTCCGGCCCTGCCCGCCGTGTCCCCGGGTCGGGCTGCCGGTGTCCCCGGGCACTGCCACCCACCCGCAGAGGCAGCC